CATGCCGCCATGCTGCTTGAGCAGTCTGATGGGATGGAGAAGGAGAAAGGAAGAAGGGACTGACCTCTTCCTTTCAGCTCCCTGGTGCCCAGTTGTTGGAGTGAAGCTTCTCTGCCACTCTCTCTGGGAGAATCAACCCCACAAAAGCCAAAACAGCAGTTGAGGCAGAATGTGCAAAACCTAAGTCATTCATAAAAAAAACCTCTGAGGAAATGTGCATGCTGTCTCCTGTCTTTCCCATGCAGAGGGATGACAAGCAGGACAAGCAGAGAGATTAAATTCTATGCATGGGGTGTGGTGATTGCCAGGAAGTAAGCCATGGTGCAGCCACTTTCTAAATGTCCACCTCTCATCTACTGCCAGACCCAATGGCAGGTGGCTGCCTCTTTTGCCTCCTGCACTAGTTAATTCCTTCAACACCTGTGGTAAGCAGAATAATGTTACCTCAGGGGTACCGTATCATAATGCGCCAGAACCTGTGAACAGGTTGTGCTATGTGGCAAGGAGAATTAAGATTGCAGATGGATAATCAGTTGATTAAGGGAGGTTATTCTGGATTCCCCAGACACTCAATGTTGTCACAAAGCTTTTTTCAAAGATAGAAGAGGGAAGTAGAAGAATCAGGGTCAGAGTGATGGGAAGGGAGAAAGCCTTATCTATCACTGTTGGCTTTGGAGAGAAAAGGCAACCATGAGCCAAGGAAGGTAGGAATCTTCTAGACACTGAAAACAGAGCCCCCTAATATGTCATCAAGACTCAAGATAATGGGGAGAGCTACTGTAGGAACTGTCACATCTTGAATTGATTTACGTTTCCCACTGCTGACTTGTCTTATACTGTTCGGAGCAAATGGATCAGGTGGCCAAATGTGTCTCCCAACCCTACCTTGTATTGGGTGGAACAGTGAATGCCACCTCCTTCTCCCACCCAAAAAAATATATGCCTGATTCCTAACCCATGGAACCTGTGAACGTGATCTCATTTGGGGAAAACATCTTTGCAGATGTAATTTCGGATCTCAAGATGAGAATATTCTGGATGATGCAAAAGAATCTTAAATCCAATGACAAGCATCCACATAAGAAAACACAGGCTGGTGCTGGTGGTACCTACCTGGAATTCTAACTACATAACTCCAGGCTGAGGCCTGGAGGACTGCAGTTCAAAGCCAACCCCAGGCAGAAAAGTAAATGAGAACTATGTCCCCAATTCACCAGCAAAATGTCAGACTGGAGGACTCGCTTGAGTGATAGAGCACCAGTCATGGGCAAGAAAGTGAGCAAGAACAAGAGGCTCTGAATTCAAAGGTACTAATGAAGAAAGGAAGGAAAAGAAAAACACACGGACACAGACACAAAGAAGGTGATGTAAAAACAAAGACAGAGGTTGGAGCTACGCACCAAGGAATGCCTGGAGCTGCTGGAAAGTGGAAGAGCCTTTGAAACACGGTCCTGCCGCGCCCTGTTAGACACTTCTGGCCTCTAAAACTCAGTATAAATATCTCCTGTTTCAAGCCATCAAACGTGGTGATTTGTTACAGTAACCCTAGGAAACTAATGTATTCCTCAGTAGATGACCTCATTTTCTCTTAGGAAGAATGAAATTAGCCCAAGTGGCAAAGTAGTGGCTTCCGGTCATGGATTAACTCACAGCTTGATCCTTCCTGACAAGTCCTTCCTGAGAGCCCCTTCTCTGTACAGTCTGCCTACTCTGCTCTTACAAAAGAAGCTCTGCCTGTCTGGACATGTGCTCTGAAGGGGACTTAATTACAGGACACATGGTGGGCCTCCACTGTGCACGGTGATTTCAGCCACAGAGTTCACATTTGTAGAGGGGTTTCAAGATCCTTTTGAAAAGCTTTCCTTCATTTTCTTTCTGTTCTTTTTTCTTTTCTTTCTTTTTTTAAACACAGTGGTTCTTAGTACTCAACAAGCCATTCTATAACACAAGATACACTTAATAACTCAACCAAGAACTGAAATCAAGGCTTTTCAACCTGGACCACTGTGCCTTCTACCCTAATCTATATCCAGAGTGGTGATTTGTGTGAAAGGAGGGAAGTGGGGAAGGACCCAGGGACAAAATATACCCCTTCAAAAGACCTGCCCCAACAACCTACTTTCTCTAATTAGCCTCTCCCTCACACCAATATCCTATTAAGTTATGAATTCATAAATGGATGAATCCATAGACGATGCCAGAGCCCTCATGATTCAGTCACCTCCCAAAAGCCCTACCTATCAATTTTCTTGCACAGGGCCTGGAAGGGTATAAGATTTGAGGGGATATTTAAAATCCAAACTATAAAAAGAGTATATGAACAATGGCATTGTACTGTACCATTATATATAGTTAAATAAGTAAATAAAAGTCTATAATGTAAAGGAAATGACTGTAAATTATAATGCACTCAACAGAGACCATATTATGGCTATGTGTTGGCTTCTCTCTTTCCTTGAAAACATGTCACTAAACGAACACAGTCTAAGTAAGCCCCTCTGGAATGAGAGTTTTCAAGAGAGAAGAGAGAGTAAATGGCTGTTGTCCATTTTATGGTTCCTTCAGCTCATGGTTGTATGACCTGTCTTGGAGAAGAATAATTCTGGTTTCTAGGAATTTGCTTCAGGGGAGGCAGAGACGTAGAGGATAGGAAGACAGGAGGCCAGGAAAGCCTTGCTGTGAGACATTTTTTGTCTCCTTTAGTTTGAAGTGCTCACTATGGAGTATCATGGCCTGAACCCCTCCCTTGTTACTGCCAGATCTCCAGGAAATAGACATACATACTTACCCCACAGGCAAGAGACTGACAAGTTACAACCAGTGGGTCAAATCTGTTCCATTCTCTGGTTTTACAAATAAAGTTTTATTGGAGCACAGTCACACATATTCATTTATGAATATGCTTCTGCCACAAAAGAGCTCAGTAGTTGCCAACAATGACTCTGCAGCTCATAACTAAAATATTGATTTATCCAGATCTCACAGAAAAAGCCTTCTGATCCGTGCTTAGAAAAATAAATAAATGTCCCCAGAAGCAAGTCTCTATATCCCTCACATGGAGTCCTAGAGAAAAGACTGGAACCCATAATCTAACCACAAAGCCCATCAGATGACAAGTCCTATCCACATTCACACATTGAGCCTCTTAGAAGGCCCAGAGCTTAAGCACAGTGGGTTATCCAAAGATTTTCCAGATACTCAAAGAAAGGCCCAGCGTAGAAGAGCACCATTTATATTTTAAAGAGAGAGAAAAGAGAGAGAGAGAAGAAAGGAACGTGGAAGAGCGAAAGAAAATTTTAATAAGAAATATACAATAAAATTACAGAATTAGTATCCACTGGTATGTGAGAAGTTATTTTATCCAGAGAACAAGACACTAGCTACTAGGGTAGATAAGAGTATACTCTGAAAACTTGAGTGTCAAAACAGATCAATACAGTCAAACAAAAAGATAAAATGATTTTTTAAATGGAGAAATATTAGACTCACAATTCAGAATGTTCAATATTTAACCAAAATAATTGCAAATCAAGAAAATAGAGGAAAGGAGTTTAGCAAATGAATTGTATTAAATTTCCAGGAAAAATAAATATTCTATCTAGAATAGTGAATGAAAACAAGCATGAATGCCATCATGAAATTTCAAAGCATCCTAGTAAAAAGATGTAACTCTACAGTGACAGAAAAGAACAGACAAATAAAAGAACAGGAGTGAAAATTAATCCAGAGTTACCAATAATAAACCTGGATGCCAAAAAGTGGAGTACTGCCCCCAAAATCCAGAAGGAAAATGACTTTTTAACCTCACAATCCACAACCGTACTCTCAGTCAAATATAGAGATAAAAAAATGAAAGCATTTTTAGATTTGTAAGGACTCAAAATATTTAGCTCCCATGTGTCCTTTGTTAGAAAACTACTAAAGGATGTGTTTCAACATAACAAGAAAGTAAAACCAAAAGACAGATGGTGGAATCCAGGAAGCAAGGAAGGGTTCAGCACAGAAGTAGAAAGTTTCAGGATGATGGCTACATCAGGCTCAAAGAACAAACAATCCAGATTGGAGCAAGAAGACTGTAGGTTGAGGGAGAGGGGACCTGTCAGAGACAGGAACAAAACCAATTACTTATGTGATACATATGAGATGTGGGAATAATTGCCAGATGTTTTGCAGGTCTGTTCAAATACTTGAAAAAATAATAATAATGCTACTAAAGAGAAGCAGCAAATGATTTTATCTAGTTTCATAATATGGGCACTGAACATTGACTTAATAAAAAATATTCTATGAATTTATTTGGAGAAGGGTGATTAGAGTTAAATCCTTGTCTAAAATCAATATATCAAGAACAGCGAAGAGCCCATAATTTAGAAATCTACAGATGAATGCGTAAACGAATGGAGGGGAAAACAATCAGAGCTTTTTCTTTCTTTGAATGGATAGTCATTTACTACTTCTTGATTGTTTCCACTGTCTATAGATTATCCATATCAGATTGCAATTATCACTCAAAAAAGTAAGTGGCCTTTTGGAATAATGCTTACCTGAGATCTTTGTGGTCTTTTCAATAAGGAAGTCCTCCAACTGGGAATACTGAACTGGAAGCCTGACAGAACTGTAGGTCTTCTGTGTGGTCCAACTGTTCAAAGTCTGTAGTTTTCATAGGCAAGTGACACACAGCAGCTTTGGAGAAGCATATCAAGATGGGCATCCACAGAGTTAGGTGCAACCACGTTTCAGTGAAGAGTTTACCAGGGATGAGGAGGATGAGCATAAAATGTGTATGGTGCCCTGAGACTCCGCAATTGAAAATTGGTATGTTCTTGACAAGAAACAAGTTCCAGGTCAAATTCATTGATAAGGTTACAATTGGGGTGAAGATATTTGTTCCTTTTAATTTGTAATTGTAGAAAGACTGCTATCATATTTGGGTTAAATCAAGTTATATATATTTTTTTCCAATATTTGTGCCATTCCTCTGCTCTGCTTCCCTGCCACAGCTTAATTGCTTACACAGAACAGTATGTGGAGTATGACCCATTCATAACGCCCGCAGAACCGTCCAACCCTTGGATCAGCGATGACATCACTCTGTGGGACATCGAGATGAGGTGAAAGAATGTCTGGAGATTTGGGGGTAGGAGGGGATGTAGAACTGGGATCCATGAGACCAGGACATGACCTGTTCCCTCACTTCATTTAACTCATTAATGCCAGAACCGAATCCTCTCCGATTCCTGGCTTCTACCTCCTTATACCTTTGGTTTGCACATGGATCCTTTGTGGCTTTGTGTCTGACCTCTCTCTGACTTCTTTGTATGTCATGGTAGCTGGGATGGTCCTCACCATTTCCCAGGTCTGAATGCTGCATGGAGAGAATCTGTTGGCCTGCCCAAGTTGTTTTCTTTGTATGAGAAAGTAACAGCAATGAAAGGGGTGACTGATCAAAGATACCTTGTACTCATACACTGACATGCTGAACTGAAACCCTTTGTACAACTTCTTAAAGATAATGGCAATACTAGCTAGCACTTTCTCTGCATGGTCATATTAAACAGAAGGTGCCTTCCAGGAAGTCCTCTCAACAGGTGAATGGTGTTAGGCTCGCTGTGAAACAGATGAGAAGACTGAGACATGAAGGCACTCATGCCCTTGCCCAAGGCCACATAGCTGGTACTCAGCAGTGTTAAGATGAGAACCTGGGCAGCGGAACTCAGAGCTATGCTTCCCATCCCTCGGTTCTTCTGCAGTCACTGGCAGCAGTGAGCCCATGATGCTTTGCTCTGAGATGGGAAGGGAAAAGAGGAAAGACCAGAGGAACAGGGACCCTTCCAAAATTACAGAAGTAGCCACACCAACAGCTCCCCAAAAAAGACCTTGAAGAAACTAGTAAAAGTCACAGATTCTTACTATAAAAGTTCAAATTAACCAGATAGGCATAAAAAAAACAACCTTCCATCCCTCTCTCATCTTCCAGGTAATGGGTTTGTCCATAGTGTGATGGCGGCATTCCCAAACTGCACCAAGACCCCTGGGTCACTGCAAGCAACTCCTGGGGGTTATCATGGGGGGCGGGGAAGAGGAGGCTTGAATTGTCGCTGGAAACAAAGCGATGTTTGACACATGTAAGATACCATGTGACCCACTGGCTTGGATCATTCAGTGCCAGTGTCAGAGTACATTCCATCTTGTTCCATGATGTCATGTCTTTGCAGACCTAGGTTTTCAGAGCAGTTGCTTGGATATAAACAAAAAAAATCCCTAATACTGTACAAAAATTATCATGGAATAGAAAATAGAGCAGGAGAGGCTGATCTGATTCCAAAGTGTGAGAAAATGTACAGTACTCTACTGAGGATTTAAGGATGAAATAGCAATACCACTTGTGTTTATGTGCATTGCACATAGCAATTAAGGTGCTACAATATAAATATTTATAAAATTGAATGGTCCTGACTTAATAAGCAAAACTGTTCCATGTTTCCTTTGTCCCAAGGGCACTGTGCAAAGTGTACTGAGATACTAAGGTGCTGTGAACTCTGGAAGTTTGAGGAGATTTAGTGTCTCTTTACATTGTTTTGCATATAAAATATGCATAAAATACCTTTGCAAATCTGGTACATTAAAACAACTCTCACTTGACTTTCTGTTTATTGAGGCACTTTAGAATCTTTTCATGAGGTTATTAGATATTCATTCTTTTGTGATTTCTGTGTCCTCTGGCCATTCTTCTTAGTGATGCGTTTTGCTTTGGATACTGGGAATTTGAAATGACCACGTTTACTTAGATCATCAATTTTATCTTTTTCCTGCTGCTTCATGATTTCTGGATTTCCTTCTTTCTTCTTGCTTCTTTTTCTCCTCTCTGGCTTGTTTTACTAGCTAAGTTTTGTGTTGGCTCCTCTTAATCTAGTTTCTATTCTAAAGAGTTACTTTTGAATGTTTTCACTAAAAAAATCACTATAGTAACATATATATATATATATATATATATATATATATATATATATATATATATATTAAAACTGCATATGTAATTGGGTACCAGTGGCTCATGCCTATTATACTAGCTATGCAGGAGACTGAAGAACACGGTTCAAAACTAGCTTGGGAAGAAAAGTCCATGACACTCTTATCAGCAATAAACTACAAACAAAGCAAGAAGTGAACCTGTGGCTCAAGTGGTAAGGCACTAGCCTTGAGCAATAAGAAGCTCAGGCTGGTATCCAGGTTCTAATTTAAACCCCAGGACCCACACACACAAGAAAAGAAAAAGAAAAGAACAGTTCTTTTCAGTGTGTGTGTGTGTGTGTGTGTGTGTGTGTGTGTGTGTTTATGCTAGTCTTGGGGCTTGAACTTAGGGCGTAGGTGCTGTCCCTGAGCTTTTATGCTCAAAGCTAATGCTCTACCACTTGAACCACCACTCCATTGTTGGCTTTTTGGTGGTTAATTGGAGATAAGAGACTCACAGATCTTCCTGCCTAGGCTGGCTTAGAACCTTGATCCTCAGATCTCAGCCTCCTGAGTAGCTAGGCTTACAGGCATAAGCCACCAGCACCAAGCACTTGATATATTTTTAAATGGGCATCTTTGAACTTACATTTCTATCAACATTAAAAGAATCCGTAGTATATAAATGAGCATCTGTATCTTCCTACATTTCTGATGTGGCCAAGTAATCTCTTCCATTCTGATCCAAGCACATAAACTTTTTTTTTCAATTCTACCTTTTCTTTACATGAAGTTGTTTGATAGGAATTCTGGGTATGTAAGATGGACCTCCCTACCTCTCTCATTTTCTCCATTGTAACTTCCATATCTTCATCTTTTATTTATATTAAAATGATAGACATTCTAGAATTGTTTCTTGGAGTCCCTAGTTTTTATCTCAAGGGTGTTCTTTCTGCAATTTCTTACTGTGGAGCAGCTTCAGCTGCACTTGGTTTCTACTGAGTGCTTAGTTTCTATTGAACATTGGGAGAAGTAATCAGGGATAATGTGCTTTATTTCAAAAACATCCTTGAATCTCTTGTTCTGTCTTTTTGTTTTAGCCTGTTCTTCTCTGTTGATGTTTTTCCTTTGGAATCCTCTGAGGTCTTGATACAAATATGTTCTGTATATCTTATTTTCGTCATATTTTCCTGTCTCCGCTCTCTTTGGGAGGGGTCTCCGGTCAAAAGATCATTGTTTCTGGCCTTTGTTTTATTACTCCAATCGCTAATTCAGAGCAGATTCCTTTCACTTACCCAGCAATTTCGAGATGTGTTTGTTTTTATAAATGGAGGTCTTCACTTTCCGCTCTGATTGTCCACTAGAACCACCAATGCCTTAATTTAAAAGAAATACTAATGCCCACCCAAAACCAATTACTTAATTATTTCTGGTTTGGTTGCTTGGTTGATTTGTTTGTTTCTGTTTTGTTTTACTTCCTAGACAATCCTGTTCTAGAAAAAAATGTATCAAGTTCTGTATCAAGTTCTGAGAACTCTTTCACTAATTGTATGGGTCAGTGGTTCTCAAACCATGGGCATACAAAGTACAGCTGCCCTGGGATGACTGTGGGTATTCATGTTTGTAGTAAGCTGCTTTCTAGGAGATTCTGGGGCACAACATCTTTTAGGAACTGTATGGGCCCAAGTTACCTGTGGCAGCTTTCCCCTAAGCAGTTCATGTGCTTTTGGGGATGTGCCTTTGTATCTCAGTAGATGGGAATGGGTAAATTGTCAAGATTCCACCTCTGGGTCCTGAGTACAGGGCCCAAGAACAAGAACAACAGAAGGCCTGGATCCTCTCCCTAAGTGAGACAGGAACCTGCGGGGCCCTTGGGAGGTAGAACCCCATCTTCTTTATCATGGTGTCCTTTCAGATAAGTGTTCTGCTCCAATTCAGGAGTTTCGAATGCCCCAGTTTCCTCCCCTAGATGGAGATCGACTCTTCTCCCTTTGAGGCCTATTCTAGGAGACCTCAGTTGGATCTCCTGAAGCCCACGAGAAGTAGCAAGTGAGCTGGGGTGTCTTTAGTGGTCGCAAGTGAGCTGGCGTGTCTTTAGTGGTCTCTTTGCCGTGCTGAGATGGTTTTGCGCTCTCTCCATTGCTGGGCCACACCGCCGTTAACCAAGGCATGCCCTCTGCTCTTATTGTTAATATTAGAAGCTATCCAGAAAGCACCATCTTTACTTAGTAGTCCTTTTTTGGCCTTGTGGAGCCTGTATTTCTGATTTTTTTCCATATGTTTCTGTTTAAAGCATACTACTTGCACTTCTAGCCCTCTTGCTCAGAGCTTGGAGTTTTAAAAGCTTTTGTTAGGGAAACCCAGCTATTTCTTCTGATGACTCCAGTGGAATCAGAGTCCGCTGTCAGTTGGCTCTCACAAAGTTTGTTTTATCTGCTTCACCCCTTTTTAAATGCTCCAACTTTTACCCTCTGCCAATAGGAAATTGCTTTGTGTCTACATACTATATTTAGACTAAAAAAAAAAAATACTTCACTGAACTTCAAAGTCCTGTCCGTCCCTCCCTTTCCCTGGACCATTTTTCAACTCATGGCTGGCTTTGCCACTCATTCAAGTCTCACAGGCTACTCGTAAGGTTTTCTGTAACTGCCCAATTTTACGTGGGTTCCCCATCCTTCCAGTGTTGTCTATTATAACTGCCCTATTTCTCTTCTAAACAAGACTAGCTGTTATCATCTGGACATCTTAACATGCAGTAGACATTCAAAATTGTAGGCTGGATGGAGAATGGGCGAGTAAGTAGTTCTTTCTTTGTCATTTTTACTAGTATTTGGGGAAGGAGGAGAGGTTAAATACAGAAGCATAATTCGCTATGATAAAACAAATTCCCTCTTTTGTTCTTAAAGCAGCATGGAAGCATATAGTTTGGGAGAAAGGTGGTCACATGGCCCCCTGGCTTGTCCCAACCTATTCAATACTTCCAAAGGGGGCACCACCTGCCCTTAGAACAAGTGCACAGTTCTCTCTCATTGTTCAGCCTTCTACTTTAATGTAATACCTGGCCTAAGTCAGTATGGGATCTTCCCAGAATGGCAGATACAAGTGAAAAATGAAGTCCCATTTCTTCTTCCAACAGAACATTCCTGCCTGCTTGGAGAAA